GCCCCCGCTCGTATATGTAAGGACTAGGTGACTTTCACGCTTCTTGAAGAATGTGTTAGCGACAACAAGATCGTTGGCCTCAGCGAATTCTAAAATACGCCGTCCATCTTCATTTCGTGTCCCGTATCCGTTGTTGCCATGACAGCTGTAACCATGCTGAGCGCTACCAACGTGGCCATTTAGGTCGCCACAGAGCAGGATTGCTTCGCTCTCTGGGACTGCTGCAATGTGATCCTGTAGTTCAGTCCAGAACTGTTCCTTTTCCACATCGTCGCAACCGCTTTGGGAGGCGTAGGCTGAGAACACAAAAAGTCGGCGGGTGGCTACGTCGATCACAGCGGAGATGAGTCTATCTGAATGGCGTCGTATTTCTGCGACATGACTGCGCAGGTCGGTACTTACGACAATGGCCACACCTTTACTGTTAGTCTCGCCATAGTAGCTCAACTTGTACCCTTCGCCAATATCGCGGGATTTCTGTCCCTTCCACCTCGTCTCCTGAATGCAAGCGATGTCAACTCTGCGCCTTCTCAACATTTCAGCTAGTTCACTGCTGCGTCCTGTGAGTGTGCCAATGTTCAGCGTGGCAATGCGCAGCGGTCTCATGCGGGCTATCTTCTTTAGCCAGTTCCGCCCTTGAACCGGTAGCCCTAGTCCATTTTCCACGGTGGTCGGGCGAACCCACCGCGCGTCGCCTCCGGGGTACGCCCTAGCATTGCTCATTAAAGTAGCATTTCGATCCATGGTTGCGACTAAATATTACCAGCCGACCTGTCGCGAGGGTCTGACGCTGGTGTCCGCGTTCAGCTCAGCACCATCCTAGCGGATGGGCAGTTTCCAGCGGCACCTCGAGGAGGAACGGACTCACCGCCGCAGTACGCCTTCCAAATGTTGTCACAAAAATGCTGAGTCGCCCGGAAAGCGTAAGGTGCGGGTTCGACTCCCGCCTGGGGCACGACTTTTGCCCACAACTCAGCATTCTTGTGAGAAAGCGTACTGCGGCGTTAAACAGCGGTTATCATAATAAAACAGCTTCAAAAAGCTCTGGACATCCTCTTTCGCTAGCAGATCTGGATAAGCGCCGTATCCTGAGGGAAGCATCCAACTCTGCAGTGCCGTGTCTAGAAATTAAGTGGTCTGCGGAGGCCCATGTCTCGAAGGACACTGTTAGGCGTCTCTTGAAAAACTCCTGAGTTCACTCACAGCAGCAATATGAGTTTCTGAGAAAAAAACCATCGCGAAAACCTAGTTGACTTTGCTCGAAGATGTTGCCGAACCGACTGGAATGAGGTTAGCTCTTGGCTGCGGTGCCTTACTGCGGGAGGCAGTCGGATGGCGTGCCCGCCTGCTGTCATATTGTTTCTGGGACGCTGCTGGCCGTAACTGCCACCTCCACCGAGCCCATGCAGCCGTTCTCTTGGATAGGGCAATTCGTCCACGCCACTTGTCACCGTGAATCTCGTAATTGATTGACCAACAATCAGGGCACAGCATTCGATGGGGATTTTGGTCGAGCCTGTACACCCCCCCCCGTTTTTTTTCGGGGGGGGGGTTCGGTACGACCCTCCCCCTTTTTTTTGCCGTTCGGTTTTTTTTCGCCTTAAATGAAGCTATGAATACGCCCACTATGAAATCTACTTGTATAAGGTCCCATACTAAATGGACGAGCTTGAAGTCATGACATAAGAACAATACAGAGATGATTGCAAACAAAAAACGGTACAATCGTATTATGAAACTCGTATGATGACTTCTTCGATGGCCGTTTTGAAACACACATGGTAATAATAACGATGTATCGCGATTAAATTCAATGAGCATCGTTAACCTGAGTGGACTCTCTCTCTGGGGCGGCCATCAGCGACCACAGGTTTAACAGCGTCTATTCTCAAGATTGAGGACGAGGAAAAGAGAAAGTTAGGCTTCTCTCACTACGTAATCAGTTATACAAACGCCTAAAAATGCATTACCCGCGATTATTGGAGTACGGTAGCAGAACGGCATGTAATTGCGGCTGTGACAGGAGATTATTCGCATTTTAGCCATGGAGCGAGAATTTCCAGCTGAGTTAGGTGTCTTTGAAAGACAATAACTTCCTCAAAAGAGGACCTTGGTGGGGAAGAGGAGACCGTACTGTGGAGAGAAGGTTCGCACTTCCTAAAAGTACTAAAACGTTTATGCAACGTCGCAAAAATCACAGAGAAATCTGCTATAGGGATTCGTTGGGGAGTGGTTTCAACCGAACAGGTTTGAATCAATATATTTTTTTGTAACTCAACATTTCACAAATCTGAGAACGGTTTCGAGTGTTTGAAGATTTTCTCTTTCTAAAAACATCTTGAACTGTTTCTGAAGCTCTCGGATTCATGAGATCTCGCTATGGGGTTCAAGTGAGGCGTGTTCGAATAGCCAGGAACGCATGTAGAACGTATCCTGTGGTGGAGCAGGAGCAGGATATGGTTCGTTTAGCGGCCGATCACGCCAACTTTGGATGCGCCGCGCACTGAGGGCCGCGCAGAGGTGATGGGATGGTGCAACTTGTGCGTAATGTCTGTTCACGCGAGCACATGTGTCCATAAGGTTCAGGGAGGTCCATGGCGAGCCTGTGCACTTGTTTACAGTGTTTTCCGTTGCGTATGATGGAACATGTCCCTGTCAACGCTGCAGATTGTGCTCCGCGCCAATCGCTGACTCGATAAAGGAGACCAACTGCTGAAAACGTCTGATATGAACGATATGGTAGTCCTGTCGCTTGTCGAGAAAAAAAAACAGGTTGCTCAGCCCCAAGCGCGACTGTGGACAGGCCATATCAATGGCAGCGAACCAGAGTTTGAGTTGTACTGTTTAGTCCGCAACGGACTTACGAGATAATGTCGACTTGTTAATATTTGCAGTTATTTCGGATTAGTTTGTGAATGGAAGTTTGTACTATTTTTTTTGGCATATCCGAGTTCTCTACAAAGCAAGTTTCGTTGTACAGGACTCAAGCACATTGACAATTTGCGCTGCTCGTTACTGGCCGCCGCACTCACTACATACGAACCCCCCCCCCCCCCCTGGCGGCCAAATACGACCCCCCTGTTGGGGATTCCCCAACCAACGATGTGCCCTGCCAACAATGGCAAGACACCAACATTGCGAACTTATGACGTACTACGCATACTCGTCCGTTTTTGAGCTAATTTCACTTCTTTTGCCCAACCCACTATTGCGACGTTTAAATACTTAATTTCATGCTGTTTGCTTGCTGGAAGAGCATAGTTTTATGACCATTATAGGAGCATGACAGATCTTCTTTCCGGTTCTGACACAGGTAGTTTCTCCTTCTTAAGGTTCAAGTTCCTGACAATTTTTCTACATCTTTATACCACACTCCGTGTTCCCCACTGTTCTGTATCTATTGGGTTGGCACATAAGTACTTTCGTTTTTTTTCAACCGGAAATTTGTTCCAAAGATGAAATGTTTTGCTAGCAAGATTGATATCATCTGATAGGAAACTTCACGTAGTTTTAGAATATCAAAACGGCTTCGGTTGAGGGAATAATTTTTGTGGATTTTTCCGTCGTTGAAGTTGAAAGCGAAGTCGGCGAAAATTAGCACCTTCGACAACTGCCTCTATTTACGTCTACTTGAAGTGCTAAAATCGCTTAAGCTGCTCCATACATTTGGAAAAGGTCGAGCTAGAAGTTCCAGCAAGGGAATCTCACTGGGGCGCTTTGGAACGAATTTCAAGAATTTTGAAGTTACCAACCTTCACCTCGCCGATATTGGGCAGCTCACGTCTCTTCCACCTGAAATTTTATGCTAATATTTGAATGTTTCGCTGTTATGTTTTGCATGTTCTGGTGGCAAATTTCGTGCTCTATAACACTGCTATAGAAATCTGTTCTCCAGTGGTGTTTGCTTTCTGTTAAGTTCAGGTTATCATTACGGAACGCGAGGTGGGTGAGAATTAGCGTTCCCGTTCTCCACGAATTTTATGCTAACATTTGAATGTTTCGCTAATGTGTTGTATATGTTCTGATAGGCAATTTCGTGCTCTATAACACTGCGTTGCAGTTATTAAAATCCTTTTGATGAACCTTGTTTTTCAGGTGGATAATATGGAATGTCAGGTCGATAAGCATCAGCACTTTAGACATCTCCTCCTTTTCGCATTCAACAGGGGTATCAAAGCTGCTGATGCTGCTCGGGAATTCGCGAAGTGAGAAGATGCCTCTCTCTCAAAACAGCCCGCAATTGGTTCAGACGCTTCAAGAATGGTACTGATACCTCTGTTGAATGCGAAAAGGAGGAGATGTCTAAAGTGCTGATGCTTATCGGCCAGACATTCCATACTATCCACCTGGAACAAGGAAACAAGAGTTCATCAAACAGATTTTTCAAAATAACTGCCATGCAGTGTTTATAGAGCACGAAATTGGCTATCACAACATACAGAACACATTAGCGAAACATTCAAATGTTAGCATAAAATTTCAGGGCGGAACAGACGTGAGCTGCCCAATATGGCGAGGTGAAGGTTGGTAACTTCAAAATTGTTGAAATTCGTTCCAAAGCGTCCTAGTGAGATCCCCTTGCTGGAACTTCTAGCTCGACCTTTTCCAAATGTATGGAGCAGCTTAAGCGATTTTAGCCTTTCGACTATACGTAAATTAGAGGCAGTTGTCGAAGGTGCTAATTTTCGCCGACTTTGCTTTCAATTTCAACGACTAAAAAATCCACAAAAATTATTCCCTCAACCGAAGCCGTTTTGATATTCTAAAACTACGTGAAGTTTCCTATCAGATGATATCAATCTCGCTAGCAAAACATTTCATCTTTTGGAACAAATTTCCGGTTGAAAAAAAAACGAAAGTACTTATGTGCCAACCCAATACAAATAGAAACATCATATTTTCATTTTTTCCTGGTATTACTCAAACACTTGTACTTCTTACGTTAGTGTAGTACGTGAAATGAAAACTCATCAATTGCTCTGTGATACCCTTCTCGTGTATCCAGCTCCTGAATTGTATTTATGAGTAGCAACTGAAAATTCTGACCTTGCTGATGAGCTGATATTTCCCACTATTTACTGCCAAAGGGGAGTGACGGGAAGTGCGGGCGTTGCTGATTTCGTCTGATATGTTCAAAGAGACACACAATCTCTCGTACATCTTCTCGAAACTCCGTCACTCCCCTATGGCAGTAAATTATGAGAAATGTCGCTCGTCAGCAAACCAGAATGTCAGTTCCTACTCAGTTGACTGTTGAACCAATATGGTAAAAAAAATTGTTAGGAATTCGTGAAAGTAAGCCTTAACAATGAAAATATGCTATGAGCAAAATGAGAATAAGAATGTGCATGATCAATAATGGTCATGAAACTATGCTTTTCCAGCGAGCAAACAGCATGGAAACTACAGTCCTCATCATTGCGGACCGGTGCGGCACTGTGGCTGCGTTTGGTGCGGTTTGGCAGAGTCGTTCTGCACCAGTTTTTGAGCAGACAAGTGCATTACTGATTATATCTTTCGTATCACTCGTTTTCTACCCCTTTTTGTCGCATACGGGTTTCAACAAAAGGGCTGAGAGGGGCTTCTAGTGTCGCCGCAGTTGTACAGAAATGCATCTTACTATATATAAACGGCAACGTCTGTCTGTTTGTCTGTTTGTTTGTCTGTCTGTCTGTCCGGAAATTCGGAATCACCTGAAGAGCCAGCTAGAAGGGACGGGTCAAGGGTGGGTTGGGTAGGGCATGGGCCAAGATGTACGGAACACACGTGAACCGAGCTAAGCCCCGCCCACTGTGGGCGGGGCGTGCGCACAGTTGTGAGCTACATATTTCAAAAATTCGTAGTCCGGTTCTAGAAGATCCCGGAGAGCGGAAATTGTGGGTAAGGATAAGCAGTCAGTTGGCGGATGAAATGAGGGAGTCACACCCGTGATGGACGGGGCGTGCTATAGGTGGGCGGTGCTCGCTACAGAACTTTCAAAAATTCGTAGTTCGGTTCTAGAAGATCCCGGAGAGCGGAAATTGTGGGAAACGATAACAAGTCAGTTGGCGGATGAAATGAGGGAGTCACACCCGTGATGGGCGAGGCGTGTTATAGGTGGGCGGTGCTCGCTACAGAACTTTCAAAAATTCGTAATTCGGTTCCAGAAGTTCCCGGAGAGCGAAAATTGTGGGAAACGATAGGCAAACAGTTGGCGGACGGAATGAATGAAGCACACCCGCGATGGGTAGGTCGTTCGCCGAAGTGAATGGTGCCGGGGACAAAAACCCTGAAAACACATCCGAAAACCTTTAGGAAATGGGGAGTAAGTGAAACTGAGCAGTGGTTGGGCAGATGAAGTTAGTAAGGGATAACCGTAGGGAGTATACCAAATGATTGGTGCAATTTATTCTGCACTTCCTCATCAGTGACGGGATCACGGTATAGAAAATTTTGATGACTGTTTTCTAGGGGGGGGGGGGAATCGTCTGTCTATCCGGAAATTCGGAATCACCTGAAGAGCCAGTTGGAGGGGGCGGGTCAAGGGTGGGTTGGGTAGGGCATGGGTCAAGATGTACGGAACACACACGAACTAAGCTAAGCCCCGCCCACTGTAGGCGGGGCGTGCGCACAGTTGTGAGCTACATGTTTCAAAAATTCGAGTTCGGTTCCAAAAGAGCCCCGAGAGTGGAAAAAGTGGCAAACGATAAGCAATTAGTTGGCGGACGAAATGAGTAAGACAAACCCATTCTGGGCGAGGCGTTCTATAGATGGGCGGTGCTTGCAACGAGACATTCAAAAATTCGTAGTTCGGTTCCAAAAGAGCTTGGAGAGTGGAAGAAGTGGCAAACGATAGGCAATCCGTTGGCGGACGAAATTTTATGAGGCACACCCCTGATGGGAGGGGCGTTTGCCTAAGTGAACGGTGCTGTGGCTGCTGAAAAACCCCATGAAATGGGGAGTAAGGTGAAACTGAGGAATGGTTTGGCAGATGAAGTTCGTGAGGGATAACCGTAGGGAGTATACCAAATGGTTGGTACCGTCGGCAATACTTTATTCCGCGAATCCTCATCACTAACGGGAGTACCGCACAGAGAATTGTGATGACTGTCTTCTAGCGGGAGCGGGAAGGGGGGGGGGGGGAGGCGGGGGGGGAGGGGGGCGGGGGGGTATAGAAGCAGTGAAACGGTAAAGTGCGGTAATCCTCAAAACAATTTTTTTCGACCATTCGGGGCCGATCCGACTGGCCCTCCCTCTCATGGAAAACTTCTCACCGGGACCCACTTCACACCCGGAAGGAGGATCGGCCGGCTTCGCCGGCCGATCCGACTGGTGAATAATACTAGTTGATAATCATCGCCATAGCTGAACAAACTAATACCTGAGAAAAGAATTGTTCGTCCAAATAAATGGTAGCGGAAAGTTGGGATTTGCAATTCGAGGGTTGGGCGAAAGAAGTCGGAAATTAGCTCAAAAACGGACGAGTATGCGCAGTTACGTCATAAGTCCGCGATGTTGGTGTTTTGCCAGTGAGGCTTAGAGGCGAAACGAATCACTTTTATTTACATACCTGATATGCCCATCCTTCCTTGTTTTTCTTCAATTGGTCAATCAGTTACGACATTCACGGTGATAAGTGGCGTGGACGAGTTGTCCTATCCAAGAGCACGGCTGCAGGGGCTCGGTGGAGGTGGCAATTACGGCCAGCAGCGTCCCAGTTACGGTATAACAGCTGCCAGCCACGCCATCCGACATACACCCCCCCCCCTAGCCAGCGAGTAGCCCCGACTTAAACCCAGTCGAGGATGTGAGGGGCTTCATTTTGCGTAAGATCCATGAGAACAATGCCCAATTCCACAAGGTCCGTGAGCTTAGGGAGTCAATCATTGGCGCAGTCTGCCGGAAGTATATTAAAATCTGTAATCGAGCATGGGCAACGGTATTTTCCAACTTAATCAGAGGAATAGTGTTACAATAGATTACTTGATCAAAATTTATTCATTTTGTTGTTCACCTGTTGTCAGACTTTTCAATTTGTTTGGTGGAACTATCATTTTGCTGCATTGTCAGAATGACCATTTTTGGAAAAATTGACGAAAAAAATTGTTATTCCATGTTAGTGTTTGGTGTTGGCATGCGAACTGGTATTGGTAATTACCGCATTTTTGTATGGGGGTATTTTGGAAAACGTCGTGTAAGACGGGATTTTGTGAGATTCAAGGGTGTAACTATGATTATGCTTCGCAGTGTATACTCATGGATTTTTGTAAGGCGATCATTCATTTCTTCATAGTATGCATAAAATTCAGATGCGACCAGCAACTCACCAATGGTTTTCTGATAGTCGGTCACGAAAGTGCTAATAGTGTAGAGATCATCGTAACGTGAAAAAGCTTTACTCCTGAAATAAAAACAACAATTAGAAGGTGACCCATTTGAGCGAAACGTGTTCTGATTACAGTCGTGAAGTAGAGCGGAAGGACTCTGCATGATATTTTCATCAGGAAAATAAAAGGCGTCTACAAGGGCTTTGAGCTGTAAAATGAAATGCTCGACCAAGTAGAAGGTAATGTATTGACCCTTACAGCCGAGCCGGACACCATCCCACCGAGCCCGGAACGACGAAAGGTCTGAGGCCAATGCTCAATGCCAGGATGAGGCGATCAGCGATTTTACTACTGCATTGTGCCTATAATACGAGGCGGATCGCGGTGACTGGCTCCGTTACTATAGAAGACTGCCATCTTCGTCGAGTGAGTAAAAATGAGGCTGGAGCGTAGTGAAAGGTGGATGTAGGTAGCGAGCAGCATGAACGACTAGCTCCGTTTCGCGTCATGACAAATAACGAGACTAATTCGGCAGGGAATGTAGCTGGTAGTGCAGCGTGCCATACGCTGCCTGCTTCACCTGCGGGTAGAGCCCCAAACACCACCCAGCTACCATTAGTCTCCTCCTTCAATTTCGACTGAAGAAAAAGACACACACTGCACAGCTGCGGGCCCATTCAAATTGCACATTACAGGAGCCACGATCCTTGAAAGTGAATGTACACTATATATTCGAAATGTTTCAGTTGACATATTGGTCCAGAATATCACCCTAACGAGCAGCCCAAATCTTGGCGTTTTTCTCGTTTACTTTCTTGGCACTTATCTCCGTGGTCCTGATAGAATGATTTTTGAGGAGTTTCACTTCTGACGGACCAAAGCTTATTCGTTGAACAACGGGGTTTGGCCACGTAGAAGAGCCGCTACTGCATCCAAGCAACCTGAGATCGTGTAGTTTTACTGCTTCCGACGGCAACGGGACCTGTTGGATGGGTGCAGGCTTTGGCCTCATACCTTCACCCATTCAGATAAGGCGAAGTACTGAGACAGAAAGTAAACTTTACCGGAGTGACAGTCAAGCTTTACAATTCATTCCATTTCAGGTATGTTTTCAACGAGAGAACACACTATCATCAGATAACCTATGGTGGGCCTTTCCTCGAAGCTCTTGGATTGGAGCAAACGAAGAGGATGACACATTTAGATTCATCCACTTCAACATTAAACTAATATCGCATTCACAGATGTCGAACCTATAATGCATGATGCTACCGTAATCGTAAGGCACACCGGCATTATCGACATCATCTGGATCTTCTTTGAGAAATTGGCCTTTTGAATCCTGAAACATTGCAAATGTGTTGAGTTCAATCTGGCATCCGAGTGATGATTTTCATCACTTACAGTATTGCGCACAGTCAACAGGATGCTTGACAGCTGTTTCTGTAATCCTCATCACTCACCTTGTCTATGTTTTCCCAACGTACGTTCACAAATTGATCGCGATCGGGTCGTGATTGTTCATGCCAAAATCCAAGCGCATGCGCCACCTCATGGGCTATTACTCCGAGCTGGAAATAAGAAAGCTTTTGAAAGACCACATCTTGTCAATACTTAGGAGCAGAAGCAACTTCATGTTCTCACCCCCATCCACAATCTATTCTCAACTCTACAACGAACAACCGCGACACTTACACAACCACCTACTGTCGATTGGCACTACATGGTGGATATTCTCTAATACTGTTCCAATCACAGTTCCCCGTTCACATAGGCTTTGTCCACGTGGTTAAACGTCGATAGATTCACGTAAAAGGCTATTTACAGGGCATTTACCCTGAAGTCCCGCAGAAAACTTCGCCATCTGATATAGTTTGTAATCGCAATCAGGGCAGCGTGAGGAGGGCAGGCTGAGCCCGCCTCCGGCTGCCTTTTTCTACCATGGTGATCGCTTAGTGATCGTTTCAAGAAGAAAACAACCAGTGGTGAAATGTCGCAGGTGGAGACCGACTGGTTGGTGTCCGCGTGATCGTCGCGAGTGCGAGCGCTGGAGGGAACGCTGTAATTTGGAACCAAGTGTTATTTTGTGAAAAGAAGATTGGAAAGCGGAACTCCAGCATATTAAAAAATCAAATAGCAGAGGTTCAAGGAACGGTGATTCGACGGGGACTCGATTATGGAAGTTAGGAGCAAACAACAAAAAGATAAGGCTCCTCGGAAAGGATGTCAAAGGATGTTCAATAGATGTCTCCAGGAGCAGTTTTACAGACTTCAGTTTCAACTAAACCTGATGGCTTCGAAGGATAGATAGGCCAGAACTGATTTTAGTAAAGTTCACATATTAGTAAAGTGAATGCAGATTAAAGCACAGTCAGGTGAAAATTGAAACAACAATTTTATCGTGTTCATACTTTGCGATACTTCACGTTGAAAGTCTCTACTGAAGGTTCTTTTCATGAACCTCTTCCCTCTTATCTTATTTCTTTTAACCAACTTCTCATGAGTCTTTTGGGTCAACCGACCTTCATTGTTCGATTTTGCTATTAACTCTGCTAGCTGTTCTCTAGAAATGTACTCAATTGGTACCAACTTACGGCATCCCATTTACTGTTCGTCGCGAACGTCTCGCAGACTTTTCCGGGATCTTGAGATGCATGCATTTTGGATTATAACATGAAAAGCCTTGAAAACGGAAGACAGTAACTGAACGAAAGCCCACCCGAATGCATTCTGGCGCGAGCGATACCAATTGTTCTTCTCCGAGGGGGTGCCTTCCAACATTACTTGCACATCCATCAACATCCGTGAATACTAAAAAAAAATTCACCTTACATAGCACCTACAGGCGAATGACTCTTTGCAGAGATTCTAATGATAGAAGAAAGTTATTTTTGAAACGAACCTATGCGGTTTCCACTGTTTGCATTGTCGTTACGGACAAAGTTCAGGCATGTGATGTTGTGCCAGTGTTCCAAGGCCAATTCGATGATTCGCTGCTCTCGGGATGCTGGAAGTTGCCGTCGATTGGCCATCATATATTAGGGTTATTAAGTCTCTTACATTAGCAAAGTGGAAGGTGATCAAACTTTTAGCGGGTTTTTTTTTCCGAAACAGGATATTCAATCAATTCGGATACAAAAGATTCGTTTCCCACTGTTTGTATTATGAGTGAAACCACAGCAGTTTCATGGCAAATGCTCATTCGCACAGTGAAAAAGCGCACAATTTACTGAAGGAACTCACTGTGGGACCCGTCGAAACTGTAAATGATGGGTCGTGTGGGGTCCCATCGACGCAGATCCGACCCGATGAACTTTCGCTTCACCCGTCTTTGGCCCGTCTTCAAGGCGTTCTCGTAGATCTCTTTTGCTTGCTCAGGAAACAAAATAATATCTCCTGAGAACAAGCAGTATAAGGCTCTCCGGGAATGAACCTCTTCAAAAATTTAGAACGGATGAGCCGAATTAGTTTGCCTGTCGAAGGGCTTACCTTCAAAGTGTCGCCCATATTCTTCAGGGTTCAAAAGCTCTCCTTCGATATCGTCTCGCATTCGTTTTCGCCAGTTGTCCGCTTCATCTTCTGTAGGATGCTGCAAAATATCTTATTCGTTCCTTACCCCAAAGTACTCCCTGGGACGAATCTTGTAAGATTTATGGTGAACTTGAAAAAGTATGTTATACTGATTTGTAAGAGAAAAATTTGTGATATCCCAAATACATCACAAACTTAGTAGGTCTAGGAAAATGCCTGTGCAGTAAGTAGTTAGCGATTCCATTCTACAGTACCCTTTTCTCTATACTTAGCTTTTCTCTGTGGAAGTCTAACTGCAATGCAAGATCAAGCGCGGCCGGATCACGTACGCACTCCATTAGGGAAGGCAAGGAGCCGACAAAAAAATGAGCAAGATGGAACATAATTGGGTGCGTGCGTCCCTCTGCCTTTATCTAACTCACTTTCGATTTTACGCTTTGTATTTTGATCGATTGTAATGGATTTATTCCTGCACGCTTCATTGTTTGATTATCGAAATTTGAGGTAAATCGTTTTACGCTACGTGATGTGTCTGGGCCTAAAAGTGCGCAGTGCTCACAGCTATATTTGATATGATCCAATACAATTTTCCCTCACACCAAACAGATCCACTCTTTTCATGTACAGCTCGCAGAAAAGCAAGTCAGATAAAAACCGTTCCTAAGAAAATCATTACCAAAAGCATTAAAGAAGAGTGCGATGCACCTGTCATGGCGTAGTCTCTTCGCTGAAGGCTTCTATGGGCACAGTCCGCGACCACGCAAGGGATAGAGCCACTTTCTTATAAAATTAGACAGTCCGGTCCGCAATCCCACGGTTGTCCCCCATTCGCGGCTCCACAAGGAATGAATGCCAAGGACGCCGCGCTCGGCATGCCAACGGAACGCCACCTATAGAAGTTGTCTCATCCGCCTTAGGAGGACTTGTATCATCGGTCTCTTTCTTGGAGTGCTCGTGAAGCGCTGAGCCTTTACTGCGTCCAGTGGTTTTCACTGCTCTTTTCCCCACTGGTGAGATAGTGTTTATGTTTCTAACCTGAAGGGCACGAACGTAATCGCTGAATGTGTCCCTACCACCTTCTTGGAGCATTGCATTAGAATTGAACTGTTGTTTTGTGAAAGCTCCACATCATTATTATCAGCCCCCGATGCCTAGATCTAAAATCCTAACAGCGAGATAGTTGAGATGTGAGGTCCGCCTTCAGATCTTGAAGGCAATTCGTCAATATAGTATTCGATTCCTTCGAGAGAAGTGTGGCCCACCTAATAGTGCAACTCTTACACCATTTTTCTACTATGGATGAGAGATCAGTGACGCACCCGCACCACGCACGAGATCTTGCAATGAAAGAACAGGAAGTGAAGTGCTGGTTTGGCTCATAAGTAAGTTTTCCAACCCAGAATTTAGAATCGAAGAGTCTTAAATTCATTGGCATCTGCTAGACGCATTTTTTTGAGATTTTGAGATTTTCTACCTTGTAAGGTACTGTGTTTACAACTTCCGAATATTCACTTTCCACTGCTCTTTTAATGGTCGAAGTGGAGTGTCAAGTAGAAGAAAACGACATTTCTGACACCCCACTACTTTACACTCAACAAAAAGCACGAGCCGTCCGCAAAATTTTTTTCTTGACGGGTATGGCCAAGAAACGCAGACTGCGTGTGCCTCCTTTAGTCCCTTATAATAAGGACTCTAAGTTCCGGGAAGTAGGCTGCATCCATACAGATGGTTGAACTCTTGACAACTTAAAAAGTCAACGAAACTGTGCTAAATTAACTGGGAAGTCAATAACACCCAATCTGAACAAAAGGGCAGCATACACCAATGAAAGTAGGGCAGTTAACCATTTCGTTGACATCATGCTTATACCCGTTTCCATTCGCTCATTTGATTAGGCAAAGTTCTCTCTCTTCGTGACACTCGTTGCTGTAATAGGTTGATCGTATGCGAGTGAGGAAATTATCATTTTCCGGTCATACACGACCTTAACCTTGAACATTCACTTTGTCTCACCTTGCAAAAGTCCCCACTTCAGGTTCGTGCATATTAGGAGGAATCTTTTCAAAGAGTCCTCCCCCCCTCCCCTCCACACTGCAGCGAATTTCACGACTGACCCTTTACACTGCCTTATTCAGAGAAACCTTTCCATACTTTGTAATGTACATACTTCCTCTTCACAAATATACAGCGTTTTCAACAGTAATTCCAAATCAACTACCATCCCTAGCTCTGGATAGTTTGCATTGTTCACAAGGTAGTATCGGTTCGAGTTACCCCAAGCCACAAGGTTTTGAACGTGATTTAGCGCCATCCTGCTGACTCTCGCAAATGACTTGTTTATAGATGAAGAGATACAGTATTTGTGTCGTCTCCAGCACCGAAGACCAAAAACTGACATCGGCAACCGATCACCGTTATAGACAATACACTCCTTCAACTCAGGCCAAGGCAACTTTTTCCAGGTAGATAAAACTAATTGGTTTGAGGTAGCATAGTCATTGACTAGGAGTTGAATTGTGCTCATTGTCAGAAGTCATTGCTGTACTACTACCAATTAATCATTAACGATCCGACCCGGCTTCATTGGCACTGCTAGAGGGAAACCTAAATACCATGCTTGGCTTGCCACCTGAATTATCACAAAACACGGTCTGCCGGACATTTAGCATGCCATTCGCGTTACTGATAGCGGTTCTTCCTATGAGAGGCTTTGTTCAATGCTAGAAAGAGAATCTCCGGTAATTTTGATGAAGGAGCGAGCCTCATCTGGACTGTGTCTTGTTGCTGACTGTTGATCACAATTTACTTTGTCTATGCTAATGCCCTAGGATTACTGCATTCCCCTTCCTGAGACAAATATTGATTGGGAGAAATGGCATCAGAACTGATTTGACTGCTCTTTCCCCAAGCCAATAACTTTGAAAGAAATAAGAGGCTGTTTATACAGGTTGACAGCAGAGTCCATCGACAAAAAGCTGGAGATGTCAAACCCACATATAAATGAAGAGAATTCTGCAGCAAGTGTGGTAACCTTTTGGGGCATAATCGAGGTTATTGAAGGATAAATGTTCCCGGTACTCGACGTTTTGAACCTTTTGTGGGCTCGCAAACAACGTGCGCGACAGCATTCCCTAGAGTTGATTTTTTTCGAACTCGAACCAAAGAAACTTTCTAACGGATTTAGTGACTAGTGGTAAAAACAGGATACTCTTTAACAAAAACAAATCAGGTGTTACTAAGCACCCCCACATCACAGAGCCACCAATCTTACCGGAGTCGAAGTCACACGAGCGCTGCCATCTCCTCTAATTTTGGTGGGGTATGATATAACTGCTCCATAACGAGTTGCTGAAAGTATACAAGAGCGTCGTGGATCCCCTCCACACCAATCAACTCTAGCAAGTGTTCGGTGCGGTTGAAGAAAAACGTCTGGTACATCATAGATGAACCTACCACGCGCCTACATTCACACTCCAAGGTGGGTCCCAATAGCACACTAACAAGGGAGGTCGTTCAGGGCGTGGTGCGCTTTTCGAAAACGGTTTTTTGCATATTGTGGAGGCTCATGCAAGGACCTGAAAAGTGTGCTTCATTTTCGCTGCGCACTTCTAGAAAGGACAGAAAAACGAAGTAGAAAGAAATACTTTGCAATCCGCTTAGCTCTGGACCTCTATACGGCGTAGGTCACTTGCAACTTTGACCAGTTGCTGAGTGGGGGTCCTCATAAAGGGGCCGTTTGAATCGAAGCGAAAAATCGCCGTAAGGAGCTACCAACTTGGGTCATGTGCTCAAGGGTGAACGGCTTCTTGCAGTGGTTTCATAAACGATAAGAGCGCTAGCATAGTCGAGCATCGGATGACCTAGTGGATAGAGTGAAGGTTTCGCAATCGGACAGTAAGGGTGGGGTTGATAGTTCGGCCCTTGCGTCGTGACTTTTTGCATTTTTCAGATTTCGCTGTTCTCGCTTCCATTTGTGTCTGCGCATGAATGTAACTCGGATATTTTCCATTTATGGGCACATTCTGAGTGGCTGTACCTCATGAGTCAGTGCTATTCAACTATTTCGATTTTCACGCCCCGTTGAACAAGACTGTTGCTGGACGTTGTTCCTCATAGCTTATACAGTGGATCTGATTGCGAATTTAGTAACTTCTGGGGTGGTGTCAATTATAGACAATTTGGGGCCACATCTTCTTTCCACTGAATTCGTTATGTACACCAATATAGGGAACGTTCACCGCTATTTTGTCGCCAAATTGCGTGAATGCCAAGAATAGGTGTTATATTTGTGATCAGGGCCACTGATTACCACTAAAAACGAATTTTCGGTAAAAACAATTGTAGTGACCTTCTTGGGTTTGCTTATGGGTTGTCCAGGGTCCGAAGCGTCAACGACGCATCGCTGTTACGAAGATGTAAGACTCCGCTCACACTGTTGACCAAATGGTCGGTCACCTACAATCCGAAAAAAGTCAAAAAAAATTTTTTCGCTCAAAACTTGCTCCTAGGGGTAATCGACAATCCTGATTACGATTCTAGACTTCATTTTCGGTTCCAGTGCCATCTGGCAGTGGCATAGCGCCGAAGAGCTGAGTCTGTGCATACAAACGAATTCGAACGAAAAAGCAGTTCTGCTCCATAAAAGTAGGATTGTTCAGTTCATCGTGAATGTTTTCGTTAGGACCTATTATTTAGACAAACACGGATCCAAAAAAATGAAAAACTGTAGAACAGCAAAGTTTTGTCCTCGGTGGGATCCGAACCATCGACCTATTTTTTACGTTTTTTTTATTCGTAGAAGCGCGCAGCGAAAACGAACCCCAGTTTTCTGGTCCTCGTACGGGCCCCAACAATATGCACAAGACAATTTTAAGCGTTTTCGAACACCTGCAAAAACCAAAAGGTTCAGATGGTAGATGGTCCGCTTGTGTACCCATGATATTTTCCTTGTGCCTTCTAGAGACCACTTGCTGAGATCGTCGGAACATCACCAACGAGGAAGCACAATCAGAATCTATGATGACTTCGAAATGATAGTGTAAGATTTCGTTGAGTCATAGCCTGCTGGCCTTTTAACAAAAGGCAACTATGGCCTTTTAACAAAAGGCAACTATGATATACTCAGAAGGTAGAAGGGGAATAATCGGTCTTCTAGATATTAAATTCGTTATGTCGGCGAGCATTCTTAATACGCTTTTAACAGCAGATTAGGGTAAAGGTAGAACATTTTTTAGCTCTTAAAGATAGAATGAAATCGGTGACTAGGGTAGAGACCTATTCGATTCGAGGTTAGTTCCATCATTCACGTTCTTCTCGACCACAACTCCTCTTCCGATTTGCTCGGCGTTATACGCAGCGATTTGCTAGGCCAAACTTATGGGATCCCTACCAGATAAGGTTCAAGACAGCTGCACCACCATCAGCGAATCGGATACGCGACTTTTGACTGCCACTTCCAGCCTTAACCTATCTACCTGCTCCACGTGATCAGTTTCAAATGTGTCCTTACACAAAATCAGTTGAGATCTTCAACTTGTAGTCCAGTTATGTGAGCATCAATTGCAATCAGGTGGAATAACGTTCTACACGAGCCAAGCAGAAAGAGTCGAAAAAAGAGCAAGATTTTTGTTAGGGAGGAAAAACTTTGTTGGAACAATCGAAAACGAAATGGAAAAACCAATGATATGCAGCTCAAAAACATAGGAACGAAGATAAGCTGAGCTGAAAATGATGAATAGTTGAAAATGTCGAAACACTTGAGCAGACTTCGGAAGGTTTCGCGCCTAAACAAAGGGTCTTTTAGACCAGTCAAGGAAAGGAAGAAAATGAACACGTGCAATTCTTCGACGAATGAAGGATCAAGTGTGTATCGTGAGGTGGTGATAACCAACAGCACTCTTCTGAGAATGCGCATGAGAGTGATTTACCCCATTTTCTTGAGCAAAAGCGTACTCGAGTACAAGGTGTACATACCTTCACTTCGAACACTGTGAATGCTGCTATGCCTGCTGGTGTGCTAAGAAGTAATTCACTCAAACTGTCGCTTGCATCTGTGCGACTTTGCAAATCATGCTCCGGAAGATAGAGCAGAGAGAAAAGCGTCCTCAGAAAAAATCCGCGACTTCATGGTTGAGTGGGTGCCTTGCGGTGCCCTCCAACCAAAGTTACAGAGCTGCTCAACAAATAAAGATACGACTAGACAGTGGATGCAATAGCTGCCAGCTGCTGCCTGAGCTGTTACACCCTCTAAACCAGGACCGAACCAACCGAAATGAAAGACCGGAGGCTTGACCAACCTAGAGCAGAGTACAAAACTGTTGCGAGTCCACATACAGAACAAAACAATCCCTCGGAATTGCCTGATGTCTAGACCATGCGCTCCACGGATAGTTCAGTTACCCGCTAAGACCGTAGTGCAAGAATTACCCGCCAGTATAACTGCATCAAGAGTATCTTTTCCTCTTCTAACTTAGGCAACCCTATAGTGGAAGTGATCTCCTCGTGGTGGTTTTGACGACGACATCGAGCGGCTCCACTTCTGCGCGATCGTACTAGTCCTATTGAGAGAACCCAGCAATCCAAAGCGTGCGATGACAAAATGGTCTGTGATGGAACTAGTTTTTGGCAGACCCATTCGTTCAACCGTCACGCGAGAAGCGCCAGCAGCAAGACCTTCTCTTGATATCGACTACGTTTTATATGTACTTACTGGTACACAGCTAGCCCGGAACATTGTATTTGCAGCATAAAACTACAATAATCGTGGTCACTGTCTAGATGAGCGAGACTTTAAGAAGGGCATCTCATTTAGCAAAACATAACGAAATTATAGACGTGAAGTACATAGAAAAGCCAAGGAAGAAAAAGCAAAGCAAAGCTGCACTTCAAGTTTGTCCGGAACTACCGGAGATCCGAGCGTCTGATCGGATCTGGAGGAGGGGGAGGAGGGGGGGGGACAACGTTGGGCAATGCTAATGCATCGTGAAACTGGGCTCTTTCAAGAATCAGACAACGTTGAATTCATAGCATTCGAAGCATTCCAGATGGGCATGAAAAAATCGCAGATCAGTACGGCAGCTAACCATATATAACCATACGATTCTCTGCCACTTTGGGCATGAATCTGTTATCTGCAGACTGTTTCGAGCTAGAAAGTGAGGAGAAATTAAAAGCGGTATCTATTTATTTATTTGTTATTTATTTATTCAATGCACGCAGAGGTGCACCTTATACCATTTGAGTTGTAACAAATCAGTATTTAAACAGATATTTATCCTAGAAACTTTGGTCAACTATGTTAAGGAATAAGAA